TGACACCTCGAGCTACATGTGGAGTCACTGGACAGTGTTCAAAAGAGTGAATGTAAGAGTTGTTTAGTCCAGAATTCAAAAGACTTACTGCCAACAATCTCAAATTCATAAAGAAAGATGCTGGAAGAAAGAGCTTCTCAAAAGAATGCAAATGAAGACAGGACAAGGTGGAACACACTTAAATTATCATAGAATTAGTCAACAATTAAAGCTTTCTTATATTAAGTCTAGCCAAACTCATTAATAGATTATATTGTGCAAATGAATCTATATCACCAGAAATCTTGAAGATGAACAAGAAAGACAGAAATAAATAAGTAGAGTCTGTCTTGGAAACGGACTAAATGACTTCTGGAAGAAATTTCCAGGCCTATGTTCTTCTATTTGTTAGAGTATTGGATTGACCAGACTACCACTTGGCAGTTGACATTCTGAAGATTAAATTAGAGTTTAGCTGTCAGGTTTTAAGACAAAAAGGTATTAACTTTCCATATCAACTGGATAGCGCGGTCCTTTTTGTAAAGACCTTTTCATGAGGTTAAAATAACATGAAAATTACTGACCAGTGATCATGTTCTGGTCTTCTAAACTCATCAATAGAATAATTTTTAAGTTAGTCACTTCTTGGTGTTCTCCTAATACTTTATTACTATTGTCCATACTTAACCCTGACAAACATGGCAGTATAGTAATGATTTTGTTAAAAATACTGAATGGTCATGTCTAACGAAATATTTCTGATATTTCTAGCATAATCAAATAATATATAATATTCCAATCACTTCTTATCTCCATGGTAGTTAATCTTTGTATAAAACTGTCAGGCAATATAAATGATACTTCAGGAATGGTGTTTTCTTTATGAAAGCAACAATATGCATAAAATTTAAAAACTGTTGCTTTCTTGTGTAAGTAGATGTATATCCAGGAGTTCAAGTTGTGTACTTTAAAGTGTATTGAGGCTGCTACTTTTGAAGCCTTTCTTTCTAACTAAATGTAAGACAAGTTCTGGTGTTTTCTAGTTGGACAACATAGGGTGTTGAAGTTTAAAGTTGGGCTGGCCACTAAACTCTGACAGATGCTCTCTGTGATCCCCCCACCACCATCCCAGGGGACGATAACAGGGGAACCAGGGAGAGAGATTTTGAGGTTGAAAAAATTTGAACCAATTTAATGAAAAAGAAAATAATACTAACAATAACAATTAAGATGTTAAGCTATATGCAGATTTCTACACTCAGCCAAGAACTTCCCTCCAAGTCATGACAAGAATTCTCCATTTCATTCTTGCCAGAGATTCATAAAATTCACCACTTGGAGAAAAAAACAGTGAAACGACAGTCAACGAGTGCACCACTGTTTGGGACTGTCATGGAGCAGTCTCTCACTTAATAGATGAGAGATCCATTGAGGATTACTAAATACATGGGAACTGCCTCTGACTCGAGAAGCCCCTGAGATGTGAAAGATACTGGGAAAATACTCGGGGGGAAGCATCATCTGTTTGTACTGTTCTTATGTTAGTACTGAGGCATCTGCTGCTGACTGCTGTCAGAGATGGGAGACTGCAGCTGCATGGATGTCTGCTTCCAGTCAAATAAAAGTTATTTCAGTAATTATACGCTCTTTCAATCTGACCAAGACATCTAGAAATCCTCCTCATCACTTTGTCAAGCTATTTCAGAGGTCGGAATTGTAGCAATGCTCTCGCTCATCACCTGAAGCAAGGTAAACATCTCAGATTGCAGCCAGTGCAAGCAAATGCAAATCACCTTAAGACTTTCACTATAGGCCAAGTTGCTGAAGATAATTGCACAAACAATTTGCAGGGCTTAGCTGACAGGTGATACCCTTGCAGGATGCTCTAACTTGGCCTTGTGCTCACAAACCTGATCCAGAGACCTGTTCTTCTATACCTATATGTCTAAAGTGCCTAGGCCATCTAGTCAGTGCTTCATTCTGGTGACTGTTAGATTTTAAGTGGTGTTTCTTGCAAAAAGTTCTGTATGTACTTCACTAGGGTAATGTTCAGAATAATGCTTGAAATTATATAGGGATATAACCTTTTGTTCAGTTTTCTGGCCTGCGATATTGTACTAGTTCTTAACAGATATTTTCATGATCTGAAATTTTTGACAAATATTAAGTGTAGAAATTATTTTAATAAATATGCCTTATCTCACTTTAAAGTAAACCAAGCATACCTACTTGAATTTTTCTAGGGCACAAAAAAAGCAGCTAAAACATTTAACTACCTTGTAAAGCTCACAGGGGCTGAGAATCCAGCTCATGCATGTATTTTTGAAGCCATTCCCTAAAATCAATATTAAGACAGAGTCAAGCAGCATAGCATGTCTCTTGAAAGGACAAGAAACATACAAACACACAAAACTCTGTTAATGCCACTGTATTAATTTCTTATTCTAAGAAAGAGGGAGAAGAGAAAGGAGGAGAGAGAATAATAGTTTTGATATAGACCAAATAAAACTGACAACTCAAAAGATCACAGAGAGAAATGTATGTTTGCCTTACATTTTTATTTTCAGCCTTAGCTATAACCATATGACAGCCTTGAGCTTCAGCTTATCTCAGCCTTTATTCTTGACATAAATATATTCAGTTCACCTCATAGAGATAACAGGCTTACCCAAACTGTCAAGATAGCTAGAAACCTGCCTGTAGATTTCATATCATTCATCATTAAAGAGTTCTCTGTGATGTTGCCAAAACTAACAGAGTCTGATAATTTAAAACAAAAAATAAAAAGGTTTTCCAAAACCTATTGTCATTGCTACTTTTCTTAATTAGTCCTTGTCTGTGACACAAAACTGAAATCTACTCACTAAACAAATGTTTTGGTCTTCAATTAAATTTCTGTTATTTCTCAAGGAACGAGAAAGTCATTTCAAGGAGCAAAGCATTGCATAGTTTTTGAGGAAAGCCCTAGCATCATTAAAATCTTTCTCTTCTTGAAGAACAACAAATTGCTTAGTGCTGTACAGCCTATCTCCAAAAGACTAGTACTCAGAGACTAGTCCAAAAGACTAGACTCATCTATCTGCAAATACTAGCTGCATGTCCTTTTAGTCTGCAGTGATTTGTTCTGTCTGTGGTTTTCTCAGCCTTTGGTAATTCTCCCCTTTCCTCCTTATTCCTTTCATTTGCTACAAGTATATTCCAATATGTGGTTTTCCTGTCGATTTACAGGACTGCTGCAGCAAAATATATGTGAACCTTGTGGAATTGTTGTTCAACAGGAGGCTGACCTTAGCAGGGCATTGACCTGCCATAGAAGTCAGGGTAAGAAAACAAACAAAACCTTCATCTCCCAGAATTAGCTGTCTGGGAGCAGAGGTATTTCGAGGCAGCTTGGATACATGAATGAGTCTGCACTTAGCACAGACAGAGCTCACATTTAGGAGCTTCTCCCTAGACTCTGGCCTGCCCTGGAAGTATTACATTTTAATTTAGCATGGTCTCTAGAGTGAAAGACCAGCAATTTTAATAAAAATAAAATATTAGCTTCTTATTCATTTTCTGTCTCCAGAACTACCCAGTTAGCTTTTTTTTTAATTGAAATGGAAAGGTAGTGTCTGGTCACCTGTCTACTGGAAGAAGTTTCCCATGCTTCTATCTTTAACAAGATACCAACAGAGGAAGTAAGGAAAGTTTGAAAAATTGGCTCCTTAAAGACTTTTGCAGCTGAGTCATTTCCAATCAGAAAAAGAGAATGAGGAGATAGGTTGTGCATTTGATATAAATTCCCAGTGATGGGAACCCATCTTTTGTTAGCAGACGATAGATTTAGAGGCTCCTATATGCATGAATGTGGCCTGAGCTGGATTCAGTCAGCATGCCAGTAACCACAAATAATATCAGTTTAACAGTGTGATCCAAAATGCTGAATAGTTTATATGCTATAGGATTTTTTCCAGGAAATTTAGGAATCACCAAGGGAAAGTCTCCAAAGAAGATCAGATGTGAAGATAAGGGCCTTTCTTGGTCATATAATCAATGAACCAAAGAATCCCAGTTTAGTCTTTCTGCTTTAATGTGGTGTCCTAGAGATAAAAAACAAGCTCTCCCAAATATGGACTAGGAATATGCACCATTTGCCAGTGAAACTCCTCACTCTAGTGCAGAGCTTTAGGCGTCTGTATGGGGATATATATTTTTTCTTTGTCCCTGGAAGGGACAAATATGAGCCATACACACCACACTTGCTGGCAGTCAGTTTGACTTGATGTTTTAAACTGTCCCAGTATCACTCCTCTGTGCTCTCCCCCACCTTGACTCTTCTTTTTTTACCTTCTGCAGTTCAACTCAGCTCACTAAGGACGCTGTTTTAAATCTTCCAGAACAGCTTAGTACCACAATTTGAACAAGAGGCTGCAGGTTTAGTCATTCACAGATGAGTGAACTAGCCCTTGCATTAACCATGCCTATATGTGTATATGTACTACGGCTGTATAATACGCAAAGATGAATCATAATTATTTCAGTAATTGAATCTCACCTTTAGTGACATAGATAATATGTTGCAAGTCTAGATTCTGGTTGTTTTTAAACTTTACTTTCTAATATCTATTTCCTTGTATATTCTCTCTTAATATCTATTTCCTTGCATATTCTCTCTTCTTTTTCTGTCTGATTGTCCCACTTCTCACAAAGTTCTTTCCCTTGCCTTCATCTCTAAGTTTCTTCTCCATTTCTTGCCTCAAAAATAACACTAACTTATGCTTTGCCCTCTGACACTATTGCAATAGCTTCAGTGCAGAAGTATATTGAAGTATATTGAAGAATCCCTTCCCTGCTGATACAAGTCTTGAGGTGTTATCACTAATACAAAAAATGTACAGAAAAGAGTTGGTGTAATAGTAACAATAAAAGGAATGTTCACACAGTACTTACACATCCCTGAACGAAACATTATCCATGGTTGCTTTAGCAAAACACAGTAGATTCCTATCAGTGTACCACATTTTCTGAGTTGTACTCACCTCCAGTCAACATGAGAGCACATTTACACATGCAGTTGTCATTGTCAGCATCTTTTGTACTGAATTCAGCACCATGTAAGATCAGACTACTCTGTTTTCCAGCTGTTCCACTGTGACCTTTTAAATAAAGCCTGAAACAGTAAGAGAAAACAATCAGTGTCACCAAAAAGCAAAATAAAAGATGCAAGTCTCTTTCCACATAGGGTTCACCTTGTATGAAGTGCAATCAAAAAATTCAGAAATGTCTCGTTTTGGCTCAAACTCTTTGTTGTTTCAGGTCTAAAATGGGGAAATCCAGGGTTTTTCAGTGTATCCATAGCAGCGCATTATGCCTTCCCCAGAGCAGAACTGAGCACAAGGAGTCGGCACAGGAAAATGCAACAGAGTTGTGGAAGTCAGAGACAGAAAAGAGAATGAGGAGAAGTGCCCAGAGATCTGGAATACATTGACAGAATAATTGAGTATTTGAGTAGCTGGTCTTTTTACTGTGGCACAGAAACAGCACTCCCAGCTAACAGCAGCCACATTATTAATCCCTGGGCTCAAAAAAGGATTTCAGCAATTTCAGAATTTTTAATTCCACCAGTTACAGCACAAGCCAGCAACCCAGTTCTGCCAAAGCTGTCTCTGTGTGATGAATGGAGAATAACTTAAGAGTTCAAGCCACAGAACTCTTTGTGATTTGCAATGCTAAATATCCCTTTTCTTGTCAACTAGCTGAAACCACAACCATGAGCCGGGAGCCTGAGCCCAGCTCCAGCAAGTAACAGAGCATTTGAGGTGCTTGGTGCTGTTATGTCTACAGCCAAGTGGGACAGCTGCAGGGATGCTGAGTGGAGTACTTCTGTTCCAGCAAGGAAACATTGGGGACCTGTGCACATCTGAGCAGCGTTCACAATCGCAGTGACACAGAGGAGAGGAGAGGAGAGGAGAGGAGAGGAGAGGAGAAGGAAAATCCATCATCTGTCTTGCTAAACCTCTACAGGCAGGAATACATGATCCACGAGGCTAGCTAAGAATATGATGTAGTATCTAGCGGAATAGATTTTTCCACTGAAGAGAAGGTGAGAAACATCAGTTCTGTTTCTCTAGCATTATTAAAGAGCGGCAAGTCTATCCAAAATGTCAAATGCAAAATGCATAAGAAGCCACAGAAGTAGAAGCAGGACTTAAGTGTGTGAAGCAGGAGATGCCTTTTTCTCTCTGAGATTTACAGTTGAGAGTGAAAACACCTTCTCAATTTCTTCTACAGACACGATGAGCAAGGTTCATGTGGGCAGTTATGGGTCTGATTGTTATCACTGCCTCTTAGATGGTTGGTGTATTTTTGCCCAATGGCTTTGGAGGAATAAAAAAGTAAATGCCTTTACCAGAGTGTCATTCCTCCATTTGTTTGGATGAAAGATAGGTACTTGATTGCAAAATTGTCACAGTGTTAACAGCAGGAGAATCCCTCTAACCTATTCTATTCTACACAGTAGTGGTTAAGTCATTAGCATATTTCTAAGATGAGGAGAGTTTGTCCAGCAAACTCAAGTTTAAACGAAATTCAGTTCTCCCACAGAACTCTGTGTTTGGAGCTCTGCTTATGAGAGAGAGAAGGGGCACATAGGCATCCCATGGCAGCTTTCCTTGATCAAATGCATGGCTGATGGAATTTTTTTTTTTAAAAAAAATGCATCTGTGGATGGATATGAAACCCAAACAAAGACATGTGATTAAACTTGTCTTGGAAACTTATTACACAAAAGCCTCTTTCAGACTGATTTAAACTTCATCTAATTTTTAGCAAAAGTATTCCTATATGTCCATTCTCCATCTTTAAAAATGGACACAATAAATGCCAAGCATGAATTTGTTAAAAAAAAAATTATTAAGAAAAGGGAACTATCAGGGCTGTCTTTCCAGAGTAGTTACACTGTTTGCCTTTATTGGATTTTAATATTGCATGTCACCTGACATGAGCTTTTCAACTTAATCCTTAGAGTAAATTTTATACACAGTTAAGTACATACAAATATACCTATAAATACCTTTGGATAGCAAAAAGAAAAAAAAGATAAGGCAAAATCTAAGCCTCAGTAAAAGATTGTGAATATTCTTAGAAGTTTAACAAGGAACAACTTATGAACAGGACTTCAGGAAGGTTATTTGACATGTTATTGTCCAAGCACAGTGCCAGTTAGTCCATAATTACCATGCTGTTCTATCCAAGGATGTTTGCTTTAGACAAGATTACTCTTAATAACACTCTTTGCTCATGTTCATTTCTTTGTCCCATGCAAATAAAAGTCTGGAATTGCTCCTATCTTCATTGATTGGACTTATGCCTTGTTTTGCAAGCTGCACCTGATTTTTTGCCCAACAGAATAAACTTCCTTGAGGTTGTGTTGATTAAAAATAATTTTGCCACATGAGCTCTACAATCTGATTTTAAATGGCCATACATCCTCACTGTATAAGCAACACCAAAGCTCAAAGAAGTCTCATAAAGTGAGTCTAAAAAGCACATGCTGTTTACTTAAATCAAAAAGACAATGTTAGCCAGATATTTTTATTAACAACACTATATTTTTAATATGTTGACAATAATTTTTATTATCATCACTATAAAATCCACTTAGTCCTACAAAACCCCCCAAACAAATAGCAACATATAATGTAAGAAAACAATAAAGAAATGAATAATAATTGTTGTACAATGTTTTCTCTAAAGGGATAGGGCATTAGGATTATTTACAAGCTCATACTCTTGCTCTGGTATTTTATAAACATTCCACTCATCACAGATTTAGATCTTGCCAGTTATGTTTGACTTTCCCTCAACACCATTTGTCTAATAGGTCTCCAGTGAATCTAAATGGATAAAGCTTAGCTTGGCTCTAAACTCTACTAGGCTTTTTTTAGTATTCTCCGATTCAGCTTGGTAGGATCGAACCTTTGAAATAAAGTCTGAATTCCACCAGGAAATAATTTCCCTCCCTTAGAAAAGATGGTAATTTGGGGTAGAGTTCCTCTTGGTTGTTCTTGAAGGAGGCAAAAGAAAGGAAGTTAAAAATAAAAAACAACTAGTACTGGTCAAAAGTCAAGGAACAATTTCAGAACTACATCTCCAGCATTCCCAGTTGTTCACAGCAGGAAAATTCTGAAAACTAAGGAAAGCAGTGGAAACACTGCTCAGATTTACAAATATAGGCAGGAGAAGCAAATACATGCCTTTCTGCATACAGTGGCATTGAAATAGCAACAAATAAGCATTAACAAGGAAATCACGAGTAAGTAGGAGTAAGAGAAATACTGCATGTGTATATTAAGTTTTAAGGACTCCTGATGACATTTTAATGAAATTCTAAAATCACTATGAAGAACGTAGCAGCTGACAGCATTCATTTAGAGTAGCAGCTTTCCTAGTTGATGTACTTAAGAAAAAGCAGCACATTAAAAAAAAAATGCAACTGTTACCTTTTGTCTAGCATAAGTGTTAGAAATTCTCTCTGCATTTTTTCCATGTGATATTACACCAGTGACATCTTGGGATCTATACACACAGATGTTGAGGAGGAACTCTCTTAGGTGTGTTTTGCTTTTCACAATTCCTACCCCGTGACACAACTTGACTATCTATAATTCCTTGAAAACAAAGCTAGGTATATGGTGTGGAAAGAACAGTTCTAAATATATTACGTAAACAACTGCAGGACAGCCTGAAAAGTCATTTCAAATTTACAGCAGAATTTTTCCTTTTGAAAAGACTAGATCATCTGGAGTTTAGCTATATATGCACCATATTTAATGAGTTGAACAGATGAACCTGAGGTAATTTCAAATTACAAAAATATTTGTATATTTCTGCAACATAGCAGTTATGAAGATTGCAACATACCAAATAAGATATTAAAAAAAATCTAAGAAATAAATGCAATCATAAGTCCATGTGAAAAAATATGCTAAATATTATTAAAAGTGTAGGAAGTAGTTTCTGCTTCACCTCACTTCTGCTTGCATATGGAGCACCTGACCTTAGAATTTTAATTATATATTCATTTTTACTAGGACTAGTAAGAGGTCTGTAGGACTCCCAGAATTTAATATTACCTACTTCTTTCTCTAATTTTTTATGTAAGAATCACTAAAGGTCACTCCGTCCTTCTTTTAAAGCACTCCCTCAATGAAATAACTAAGAAGTCCTATCCAGCTTTGCTGGTGAGTAATGCATACTTTGTAAAAAAACAAAAAAATGTACTAGTTTACTGCAAACAGTAGCAATCATCATTAAGAAACGTAGAGTATCACCTCAACTGTCTCAGTGTCGATGGTCTTAAGTATCTTAGTGAGTTAAGAGAAGATCAAATTTCCACAGTACTAAAATTTTCAGTAAAAATCTCTATGACTGGAATTCATAAACTTGAGTAATGGCCTAAGTTTCTTAACCATTAGATAGAGAGAAACAGGAGTCTTAAAGCAGGGTTTAAAAGATTCAGCATGATGAATGGAGAGGGACACATCAAAGCCTGCCTTTGGGAAACACTGTAGAGGGATGCCTCCAAATTCCCACCTCCCTTTTCTCCTCTTTCTGTAAGCTAAAATGTCTCTCTACTGCCTGCTCATTCCACATGGCTGGCAGGAAGGAATTCCAAGTTCTGATCCCTCCTCAAGGGAGGGGTTGTTAATTTTGATACAAAGGGTCATTGAATAAAATAGATGCATCGGGAAGAAAATTTTCTTGGAAAAGGTCATTGAATAAAATGGATGTTTGGGGATTGGAACCTTATGCCCAGAATTTCCTACTCTGAAATCTCTCTTCAGAGTGTTTCCATTGTTTTCTAACTTCATAGGACCAAAAGGCACCTACACCTCAGCCCACTGGTCACCACTTGCTTCTCAGTAATAATACCAAGTAAAAACCAACGTCTTCTAAAAAAATCCCCAAAATATCCTCAAAATCAGATAGCTGCTTCATTTTAAATGCAGATTTTTCTAAAGAATGCTTTGGGCAATTATTTGGAGATCATAAAGAATTTGTTTATCAATGAATAAAACATGTCTCTGAACCAATGTTAAATGTTGTCGATTCCTTGCAAAGTTTCTCAGTGTGCCTTTCCTTGAACATAATATAAAATTGCATGAGATG